TCCCTCATTGGTTGGGAAATAAAGATCAAGGGTTCATTTCCCTATAAATACCAAAGTTTGCGTATTTGGGAAAGAACATCTTTTAGTGGAATTAAAATGGCAACTCTTGATTTGAGTAAACCTTGATTCGTAAAACTCATAGTTTTAATTGTCCGGGTCTCGACTAACCTTCGATACTTAGGACGCTTGGGTCGGGTTCGAGGGTACGATCCCGTTGGAAACCTCGTATTTTCGGGGATCAAGTCAGAGCTCATAGTTGAGCGAAGCACGCGTCAAAGGTATAATCTTTTATCCTTAATTATGTTTTAATTATGTTTTGCTTGTTAATTGCATTTATTATGGGGGCGGGTCTTGGCGGGTTTCATTCCGCGTAGTGTGGGTCACTACGAAACCCTACTGCGGTATCGGAGCCACGCTCCTTTTGATTTTTGTAATTATTGATTAATTAAGGTTTTTAAAAGTAAGTTTTAATTTCTGGTTTTGCTTTTCTAATTAGATTAGAAGCTCGTTTTAATTATTTTAAAACTCGTATTTTATCGATTTGGTTGTCGAGCCCAAATTTTGGCTCAAAATAGTGATTTTTGGGTGGAATCGATATTCTGAAAAAGATTTAACTCTCTCCGAGAGGACTGTCCAGAAGCCAAATTCGAACCAGAAACCCAAGTTTTTGGGTTTTTTTCGTTTTTCAACGAAAATTTTAAATCTTTTTAAGCCTTGATTAATGCAAGCATTACAAGGTTAGATTAAATGCATTATTGCATCCCTAATCTACTACTATTTTAATTATCCTTAAGCATAATTATGGAGTTTTAATTAGCGCGTGAGTTGATATTCTATTTTTCACACAAACTTGATTTTTCACAATTATGCAAATAAATTGCATTAATGTGTGAATGTTTGATGTGAATGTATAATTTTAAGTTCCCAAGTACGTTAAAGTTCTAATCTTTAAAGGTTTGAATGATTGGAACTCTAACCCTAAATTCCATATTGAACAAAGTTTGGATTTTTCATTTTTGGTTGATTAAAATCCGTGAAGTTCAAATACTTGTGAGTAAAATTTTGATTAATCTTCATATTGGAAGATGTAATCTTGGTATTTCACACAAGTATGAAAGTTGGAAAATCTTTATCATTAGATGGTTAATTTGTTTTTCCAACTCCCATTTGTCAAATCCATTATTAATTTGCATATTGGCTAAATTAATTATGGACATAGCTATTTCAATTTTAAGCTTAAAGGAAGACCTAAATTATTTCAAAAATAATTTTTTGAATGTTTTAGGCTTGTGCACCATTAAAATTAAATTTAATCATGTTGGACTTATTTTATTTTCATTTTTGCCCTTAAATTAATTCTAAAATAAATTTAGATTAATTTTATGTCACACGTAAATCATTTTTGCTTGTGTGGGCTATTTTGCTTAATTTTTGAGCTATGTAATTTTTGCGAAAATTTTGTCGTTTTGATTAACTTGTGTAGTTATTTTACGAGGTTAGACCTCGATTTTTCCGGCTTTTGCAAAAATTTTGATTTTGACAAATTATGGGTTATGCCGACTTAATTAATCGGATTAATTAAGTATGGATGCGGAATTTAGTGGGAGCTTAATTGATTACTTGAGTATTTTTCTTTTAGAAATAATGGATTAAACAACTTTGACTAGTTTTAATATGGCGCGTTAATCGGATTAACCACCTAAGTTAGTTACTAGTTTTGCGTGTTTAATTGTGTATTTCGTAAAATGCATGGGCCATTCACAAATAGTGAATGGGTGAATGGAAGATGTTTTTCAAAACAGGTTATTGAAAATGAAAACTAGTGGAGCCCGACTAGGATAGAAAATACGAACTGCGATCCGTTACGTATTTTTGTAAATCTAAATACGGTCTGCGAACCGTTAAGTATTTTTGTACTTTAGATTAATCTTAGTCATACTAGCTAGTCATTTTATTTTGGCCAAGATGTCTCAAGACGATGTTTCGATGAAGACGAGCCAAGATAAAGACCCATGGAAATTGAAGATTTCAAGGGGTCATGCTAGTTTCCAAATGCATCAATTTATGCTTTATATATATATTATTGTTATATATGAATGTTAGATGCATGTCTAGGATTTCTACATGTTGCGACGATTAGTTAAATTCACTTAAATCAAACCAACATAGAAACCCTAGGTCCCTTAAAATATTGAGCTAAAAATTTGACGTTCCAAGAACAACACTTACCGAACTAATGCGCGTATGTGATGGGCTACGCCAAAGCGAGGCATCACTACTTCCCTAGGAATGTAAGGTATACTAGGTATACGAGTTGTCTTGGTTAAGCTCAACGATATCAGTAAGGAGTCCTTAGATGTCGTGCCAAAAGAGATAAAATGTCAGGAATGCATTAGATGCGACATTTTATCAAACCGAGAGTAGCTTGGAGCTATTAGCAATTGAATTGCTTACCTTAAGATATTTAATGATTAAGACAAGACAAAGCATGCTTAACCATTTCTTGATCTTTGGTATTTCGGAATCATTTTATTCTCGCCTAAAAGGGACAATTTAATAATGCGTGGATAAAATGTTCAATAAGATTGAAAATTTGCATGAACGCTTTTAAATTTCAACTTATTGATTCATGAATGGTTTTTCATTTCAAATTCTTTCAATTGTAGAATAATGTCTGCAAGTAACTCAAACAACAACCAAATGTGCTTGGAACTCCCCGAAAATTTGGCCTTTTCTTTAAACTTGGTCAACTTCAAGGAATGGGAGGAGGAACTCAAGAGAACTCTCCGGAATTTTTCCTTGGAGTATACTCTTGATACTCCCATTCCAAGCTTCTTTGCCAAAGGGATTATGACCGATGAGGCTCATGATGAATGGTCTTACAATTGCAAAAAGGTCTCACGACTTATAGAAAATTCCATCCCAGAAGATTGGAAGGAAACCCTTTCCTCCTACCTTCCGGACATGTTCCTCAAAGCCCTTGAGGACGTTGTCAATGTAAGAGTCACCAAGAGTGACAATGGTAACTTTGATGGACTCGTGTTTGACTTGACTAGGTCACTCTCAAACATGAGGATAAAGCCACCAAACATGGGATGTCTTGCTCAGGAAAGGCGTCGGCTTTGGACCAAGGTCTACAATGCCAAATTGAGGCCTGACATGCCCCTCCGACCTCATGTGCTTGGAATGACTAGGCTCTTCAAACACATGCAGCTTATCAGAATCTCATTAGAGGATGAGATGGCGGGGCATATCTTGCTTGCTTCGCTCCACTCGGGCTATGATGCACTTAGAGTGCATATAGCTGTAGGAAAGGAGACACGCTCCTTAATGGAGGTGGTGCAACTACTCAGCCGAGCCATCGCATGTGGAATGACCGAGAGGCCCTTAAGAGCAAGAAGAAGGGAGTTCAAGAAGGTCAAGGAGAAGATGCGTTCCTTCTGTTGTGGTGGGCAAGGCCACTACAAAAGAGAATGCAAGCTCTTTAAGGAAGAAGAGGAGAGGAATGGATCATCTGCCTCAGGTATCTTCCTAAACACTTGTGAATTAAGCTTATCATAGGTATTAGATACCAAGTATGACTCACTTTATGTTGCCTTTTCAGGAACCAAGTGAGAAGCTTATCAAGTGTTGGTGCATGGACAAGTAGACAACGAAGATGGTTTTTCGGTCGTGCTTGCATGCACTATATTGTCTATGACATGTAATTAAACTAATCTTAGTTTTTCATGCTTTTGAACATACTATGATCTATTGTGTTGGACACCTAGGTATTTTGAATGTAAGACTTTGACAATAGTTGTTTCAAAATTGTCTTGCAAATATATGTTCAATGGAAATTGCATGTTTTTACATATGATTAGACAAAAGTTGATACCGATAGCTCAGACATCTAAGAATTCAACTTCGTTAACAAACATTAGTAGATATGGCTATATCTACTTAATGTCGAATAAATCTGAATCCTTTGACAAATTCAAAGAATTTCAGAAAGAAGTTGAAAATCAACTTGGCTAGAAAATTAAAGCATTTTGATCGGATCGAGGTGGCGAATATTTGAGCCATGAATTCGACGATCACTTGAAAGAAAATGGTATTCTTTCAGAGTTGACACCTCCCGGAACTCCTCAATGGAACGGAGTATCTGAACAGAGGAATCGAACCTTGTTAGACATGGTTCGATCAATGATGGGTCTAAGTGAACTTCCTATCTCTTTCTGGGGACATGCGCTACAAACCGCGGCACTAACACTGAACCGCACTCCGTCAAAAGCTGTTGAAAAGACTCCATATGAATTATGGACTAAGAAACCTCCTAGGTTGTCTTTTCTCAAGATTTGGGGATGCGAAGCATATGTCAAGCGATTAAATTCGGACAAACTTCACCCCAAATCGGATAAGTGTTTCTTTGTGGGATATTTAAAAGAAACCAAAGGGTATTACTTCTACAATAAATCCGAGAACAAAATGTTTGTTGCTCGTGATGGTGTCTTTTTGGAGAAGGAACACCTTTCCAAAATGACAAGTGGGAGGAAAATCAAACTCGACGAAGTTCGAGAGGACGAGCAACAATGTCAACCTAATAAAACTGACAATCTAAGTGCTTTGGAAGTAGCTGAGAAGATTGGTCAGAATCAAACAGACAATGTAAATGCTTTGGAAGTAGCTGAGCCACACACTACTTAAAATATCAAACACTAAAAGTAGTGAAACCCAATCCAGTTATTACTTGTTAGAGGCTTACTATAACACCTTTTATATATATCCAAGTACACATATAGGTAGGTGGATAGTTTTTTGCTTTTTTTTTTTTTTTTTTTTTTGAAAGAAGAGTTTTTTGCACTTTGATATGTATTTTTGTCCATTTTATGATTTTAAAATGAGTATAAAATATTAAATGAGTAAAAATTACCTTGATTGCAGGGTGCATATAATTTCTTTTTATCTTATGGCTTTTTTTTTAAATTTCATTGGCCATTATCACATTATTGTTGATGATATAGACAAACTCCAAATTACATAAAATCAAAATCCTAATATGTACATTAATTGCATCAGGGAAAAATGATTCTGTTCAATACATTCACAAATTACATTTTTCCTACTTGTGGTACCAGAAAACTTGAAATCTACATGAAGTCTGATGACTTTCAGCTTCATAACTGTGCAGAATCCCATCATATTCTGTCTCAACTATTACATCATTACCCATTGCCAATCAAAAATTATCTGCCTTCACAATGGCTACTTGTAGGCCGAATTACCAGCAATACTATGGCGACTGGTCGAAGGACCAAAAGAAAGCATTTGCCTGATGCCTTTCATGTCACAGCAAAAATAGTTGACGCCCGGATGTCTTCAAAAGCTAACCACTGCTGCGTTTAAAATGTTCCCGTATAAACCTTTCAGCGTAAAAGGGGTATTTATTTCGAATATACTGCCGTAAACATTTCTGGTATGAGAAGTCGATCCATCCACCATCCGTCCTTACAACAAAAAGACACCTTGAATGTCGAAATTGAGGATGCCGGTCAACCTTTTGTCAAAAGAAATGAACATTAGCCAAAGCCAGCATGCTGAGCATCATCCATTATATATCAATCTCTTAATAGGATAGCATAGACTTACTGTGAATGAGAATTTTTCATGCATAACATTACAATGCCTTTCATGATAACTTTTTTCTGGTGAATCATACCTTAAAAGCAGAATACGACCTAACCTTAAATGATCACCATACATCCCTATAACGAAAGCTAAGGATAGCAACATCAGCATTTCACCCTTAACAAAATGATGAACAATTGAAGATCAAATTAGGTCCTTCTCTTTACTATAACATCTTATATGAAAGAAGCCAGTAAAGTTCTGTAATTTGTTTTTCTATTTCATAAATTGATAGTTTCAATAGGTATTATTTATGGAGTATTATGTACAACAAACTGTCTTTCCAAATAAAAAAAAGCTGCAAACAGGTAACAGAAGGAAGGGGAGGGGGAGGGGGAGGGGTAAGGGGAGGGAGGGACAAACCCCCGTTTAGTAGAAGAATAACACTTACAATTACTGCTACAAATAAAAAAGATCCACATTGGAAACCAGCAAAAAATATTGTATCAGACAAATATCAAAGTTTCTGGCAATATCACAGATTTGAGGAGCATTATTCACCTTGAACTTCCTACTCAGATGCATAACGTCAATACATTTACATGACAAGAGATCCACGTATCATTGAGGGGTCTTTTGGTTGTGCTCTAAATTGAATGAATGTGATACCTCATCCCTCCCTCAACCCCTTGAATCTCTTAACTATGGAACTACCAACACAACTTCCACTCTAGGAATGAGATCTAGCATGGATAATTCCCTTAAACAACATAGCGATACAAAACTGTACGTTGTTCATATTAGTAAAACCCAATTTAACACATGGATATAAGGAATTTAAAAATTAGAGTTCATGGCTAGGTATATGATCTTATCAAGGTGTAGTCGTTGTCATAAGCAACATAATTATTAGTAATACAAGCCATTTCAATACCTACAACAACGCAGTATGAATCCTACCACAAGACATTTACACAGATCCAACAGTATACAACCTAAATTCCCAACTAATGAAAAGTATACATTGTTTGAACACCCACATATAATAACATGTGCTACAAAGGAGACAGTTTTAAACTTGTTTACCTAGTAATGGATATACTAATGAGAATTATTATTAAATGAAAAACTAACATTAGAAATAACAGAGATATGCATAGCAGGTTCTTGTCATATTAATAATAGTCACATTCGAAGGAACTATTTCTGCATAAAATGCAAAAGACTTGAAAATTCCTCAAATTTGCTAAGTTTTACAAAAAAATTCAATCTACCATCCACATCAACAAAGATTCTAGCCTTTATATTTATTTATTTAATGAGTCAACAAAAAACTAACATTATCAGTTGAACCACTGATCGAATTGGCGGCTTTAGATTAAATAAACTTACTGCCTTGTCTATCTTAAGGGAAAATTAGAAGAAATAAAAAAAAAAATAAAAAAAAAATAACAAAACAGAGCAGCTTCCTCCACCTGCCTTTATTCTGTTCCACCACCACCCCCTGCAACACATCAACGCCTACATCCCTTGTCAGCTGTCACTGACCTTTGCCAAGACCCGGTTCTTTGCATCAACCACCACCATATGTTTATATTTCTTTCGGAGGAAATTTAGGAAAATCTGCCATAAACAACCTTTTTAACAATGTTTTTGCAAGAAACCACCTTTTACAAAACACTTGTAAGAACAAACTGGTTTTTTTTGCACCTCATGCCAGATTTGGGCGTAGACATATATTTTCAAGCACTGACCACCCACTTGCAGACCACCAAAAACCCCGTTCCAACCACATCACCACTATGATACCTGGTGGTGCTCCACCTTACTCCTCCAAAACCCACCCATACTCCCTCGAAATAAACCACCCAACCTCCTTGAAACTGCCTAGTTAGCTCCAATACCACCTAAACACTTCAAGGCCACCCATCTACCACAAATATATATTATATATACACACTAACTCTTTGTCAACCACCTAAACACCACCAAAAATCCATCCCAACTCCCTTGACATCACCCACCCACCACAAAAATCCACCCAACTACCTTTGAAAATTATCCTAATGATTGATGAGAAAAAACCCTAACCTTTACAAAAACCCAAACCACCCTAAATTGAGTTGGAAGAGAAAAAAGGAGGGAGGGAGCAATCATGGCAATGAGAGAATAGAGGTTAAAACAATTCAATGTCAGAAATTGTAAGTCGAAGGCTAGAATCCACCTTAAAGTGCTCTTCCCGAAAAATATTAACAGCATGTCTATTCTTACATGATTTTCTTAAAAAGGTGGTTTATGACAGACAAATTTTCCTAAATTTTCTTTTTATAAAAATTAAAAAAAAAAAAAAGAAAAAAAGAAAAACATTTATAATAAATCTAAGAAGGAAGACTAGTTGTACATTGCACACGACTGCCCATAACTCCTCTGTGCCATTGCAACCCGTAGCTATCGCGTTCAGATCTCTGGCAATACTGCATCACTATCACCGGGGGGAAAAACCACATAAAACAAGCCTTTTTTTTTTTGATGCATAATTAAAGTATGATATTGACAATTTAATCAAAGTGATGTTAATGGGTTTGTTTGATATTGTTTTGATCAAATTCCTATGAAATTATAAATTTTTTTGGTTTTTATTATGCTAAGAAGAAACCCGATTCGTTTGGCATTGCTGTGGTTTTCAATTTTTTGGTTTTTTGTTTTTCAAAACCATAAGATATATGTCATATAATGAATAAAAAATAGTTAAACTTATTAAAATCATGGTATTTTTGAAAACTGATAACAGAAAAGTGTAAACACCTTTTTCTTGTTTCCTGGTTTTGGTTTTTAGTTTTTTACAAAAACAGAGAACTGAAAACAAAAAACGATGCCAAACATGCCCAAAAAAATTTGTTAAAAACCTACTGACATAGAAAGTAGGTTAGGAATTTTATTTTAAAAAGAAAGCATCATCAAGGGATTTTTTAACCTTCTAACATTTTCTACATAAATCCATAGAAGGAAACACTAGCAAAATTATTTTTATAAATAGCAAAGGTTGGTAAAAATATAACAAATACGAAAGTTGTGCATATTAGAAAATCAAAATTGTCAAATTCTTTATAAGTATGCAACAAAAATATGGAAAACTACTGTATTATTCCAATCATATGACAAGGATGACACCTAAACATTATCGTATGAGGTCTAGGATGTTTGTGGACTGTGGTAAAGGAATACAGAGGATGAAAGTAGATACAAAGGTAGCATCTAAGCAAAATAATGGTAGAATATTAAGAAAATCAGGTCTTGTAGTAATAACCTTAATAAAATACTCCCTTTAGCCTTAAAAAATAATTTTTTTTTCTAGGTTTGGACACACATATTAAGGGATTTAAAACTATGCTGTGTAGATTTTTTGGTAGATGGTGAGGAAGTTTTTATTTTTATCAGTTAGTGGGTCAAAGGACCCAAATATAGAATACAAGTATGAGCTTGAGAAAAAAAGATAAGTCAAACAGTCCACATCACATGGGTTTAATAAATAAATATTCATTTTAAGTATTAATAAATGTCCCATTTCACCCAAATACATTTTCCCTAGATAAAAGTCACTTTTCGAAAATAACTTGGTTGGAAAAAGTTAAGAAGGATGTGAAGTATATGGATTTACATGAGGATGTGGCATTAGATCGAAAGGAATGGAGGAGGAAGATTTTTGTCGATGACTACACGAAATAATCACTTTTGGTTCAAGTATCCGACCCCACTTATGGGATTAAGGCTTTGATTGATTGATTAATCACTTTTCACCAACCTAACCCACTATTTCTTCGTATTCCTTTTTAATCAAATCCTACTATCTTGTTTTTTACATTCAACTTTAATAAAGAAAATATAACTTATTCTTTTATCCATCATTCTAAAAACATGAGCAAAAGGCAAATGAGATTTTATTTAGGGATGGAGAGAGTAACTAGATAATTTTGTGGACACTATAAACAGGATCTAAGAAGATTATAACAAATAAATATATAACACCTTACTCCCCCCCCTGCCCAATTCAGTTTTTCTTCTTACATTTTATGAGTGTGTCCAATCATATGTAGCAATTTAAAGAGGGCGGATTTGAGATGCTAAATTTGTTGATTTGGTATCCAAGGGTCACAGGCAAAGCAAAAAACTTAGTTCATTTAAATCAAGCACTTGCATATTGAACTAGTGGTGATGCTTAGCCCATGACCCTTGGATACCAAATCAACAAATTTAGCAGTTTAAGTATGGCTTCATCGCTTGTTTTATGCACATCAAGCGATGCGCGCTTGTAGCAGCAAAGAAAGATGGTTGATTGACAGTGGGTGCACATCCTACATGACAAACAATAGCTTGACTCTTCCATCAAAGTTCCAATTCGTATGGAGAATGGTGTTGTTGTATAGTCCACTGAAAAAGGCACAATTGGTGTTCAAACCAAGAAAGGTATGAAGTACATCATTGATGTCCTCCTTGTTCCAGATTTGAATGAGAGTTTGCTTACTGTTGCTTAGATGGTCAACAATGGTTATTCACTTATCTTTGAGAATAACCATTGCACTATCATTGACTCAAATAAGAAAGAGATTGTAAAAGTCTCGATGGATAACAGAAGCTTTCTATGAAGTGGGATTATCCAGTAGAGAATGTGAATGCGGCAAACTCAAGTGACACATGGCTATAGCATAGGAGGTATGGACTATGGACACTTTAATATGCGTGTTCTCAATGAACATCACAAGAAAAATCTAGTGAGATTTTCCTGCAATTTGCATATCTAATGATCTTTGTGAATCTTGTCAATTTGGCAAGCAACATAGGTTACCTTTCCTGAAGGAGAATGTGTGGAGAGCATAAAAAAATTGCAACTCGTTCACACTAATGTATGTGGACCTCATCAAACTTTATCTCTTGGTGAAAACAAGTACTTTATCCTTTTTATGGATGATTCCACCCGCATGACGTGGGTGTATTTCATGAGAGAAAAGTTTTCAAAAAATTTAAAGCACTGGCAGTAGCTCAAAGTTGTTGTAAACTACAAAAAATCAGATGAGATCGAGGCAAGGAATATACTACCTCTGAATTTGTTCTTTTGTGAAGATGAAGGAATTGAACATCAGCTTACACTGTTATACACTTCAGCAGAACGGAAAAATAGAACCCTGATTGAAATGGCTCGCTGTATGTTAACTGAGAAAAATCTGCCAAAAATTTGGCAGAACCGTATATTTGCTAAACACGCTGCTCACGAAAGCAGTTCTAAGTCAAAACTCCGATTGAAGCATGGAGTGGGAGAAAGCCAACAGCAAAACACTTAACAGTATTTGGATCAGTTTGCTATGCTCATATTCCATCTCAAAAGCCGAAAGAAAAATCTTCCTTGGCTATGATTCACAAGCCAAAGGGTATCAACTTTTCTATCTTAGCAATAAAAAGATCATGATCAGTCGAGATGTTGAATTCAATGAAGAAGCAAGTTGGAATTGGGACGAAGAGAAGGTTGACAAGAAATTTTTTCAAGTTAGCAGTGACATGCATGATGAACTTAGAGATGAGAATACCGAAGAAGCTCCTTCCACTCCTATACAAGCTGGAAATGGCACTGATGAAACTAGTGATGACGACAATGCCACGGGTCTAAAAGGTAAAAATTCTCTCTCGGATTTGTACGAGGAATGTCCAGTCTTTCAGCTAGAACCGAGGAATGTGAAAGATGCTACCTTGGTTTTGAAGAGCCCCTAACATATGAGCAGGCTTTTGAAGACAAAAGGTAGCAGCAAGCAATGGAAAATGAAATCAATATGATCAAGAAAAATCAGACTTGGGAGTTAGTTGATAGACCAAGTGATCGCAAAGTGATTGGTCGTCAAAGGATACTCCTAACAAGGAGGAATTGATTATGGAGATACATTAGCTCCAGTGGCTAGGCTTGACACAGTTAAAACTCTTAATGCTTTAGCAGCTCAAGAGAAATGGAAGATTTATCAACTTGATGTCAAGTCTGCCTTTCTCATATGGTGAACTCGAGGAGGGAAATTTACATTGAGCAACCTCCCGGATTTGCAATTAAAGGGCAAGAAGAAAAGGTGTGCAAGCTGAAAAAGGCTCTTTATGAGCTAAAACAAGCGCCACGAGCATGGTACATCAAGATTGACTCATATCTACTTGCACAAGGGTTCAACAAAAGTAAAAATGAGCACAATCTCTACGTGAAGAATTAAGGAGAAAATGATTTGCTCATTGTTTCACTCTATGTTGATGATCTTCTTGTCACGGGAAAAGGAGGAGATGAAAAGGAAGTTCGAAATGACAGACTTAGGCTTAATGAATTATTTCCTAGGGATGGAAGTTCATCAAGCTGAAGATGGAATCTTCATCCCTCAAAGGAAATATGCAAATGATGTTCTTAAGAAGTTTCATACGCAAAACTGCAAGCCACTCAGTACACCTCTTGTAGTAAATGAGAAGAGATGATGGTCAAAGGAAAGCTGACACCAGGCAGTACAGAAGCTTAGTTGGAAGTCTACTTTACCTCACAGCAACAAGGCCAAATCTGATGTTCGCAGCTAGTTTGCTTTCAAGGTTCATGAGTGAACCAAGTGATGTTCATATGGGTGCTGCCACCTCAGGTTGGAACCTCAGATTTTGGTGTTATGTTTAACGCAAGTGCAAACTCCAAATTGTTTGCATATTGAGACAGGTGGTTCAAACAATGACATGTAAAGTACTCTGGGCTATGCTTTTTCACTTGGATCTGGAGTGTTTTCATGGATTTCGAAGAAGCAAGAAGTAGTTGCTCAATCCACCTGAAGCCGAGTACACTGCAGCATCGGCAATTGTTAATCAAGCTGTGTGTCTCGGAAAATACTTGTTGACTTGAGACACAAACAGGAAGAAGCTACTGAAATTCTAGAAGACAACAAATCAACAATTGCAATTTCCAAAAATCCAGTTTGTTTCAGCAAGACAAAGCACATGAAGATGTATTATGCACTTCGAGAAGTTGAGCAAGAGAAAGAAGTGAAGCTGATTCATTGTCCTACTGAGTTCCAGCTCGCTGACATTTTGACCAAGGCTTTACCAAAAAGCAGATTTGAGTTTCTCAGACTCAAGCTTGGTAAATGAGACTTTTAGTGTTGAGGAGTCAGTGAAGCAATCAGTGAATTAACTTGAATGTACTTGAGTTATTAGGAGTAGTTGAAATGCCAAAAGTTGTGACTTTTCATTGCATCACAATAATGTAGAAAGCATCCCTCACCCCTATATAAAGTACTCATGTACATATCAAAAATAATATAAGAAATCTTCCTACTTTCTTTCCACATACACTGTCCAGCTTTGCTCTAACATTATAACAGAGTTTAGGAGATTTTATTGTTTAGTTAATAAATGTTATCTTAATAAAAAGGTGGAGTTAATAGGATATTGTAGAGTGTGTATTATTGATAAGTGTGGGACCCTAACTTTAAGTAGTGGCGAATTGAGATGTAAATTATATTATTGTGAGTCATTGCCAATTTCAGAAATGGGCAACCGAAATTGGGATATAAGAAAAAGATATGTGACTATGTTAAATTTTACAAAAAGAAGTAACTTGCAAAAAGGCATACCAACATCAAATACACTAAAGCAATTCCATTAGCAATGAAAGAAAATACACACAACATATTTAATTTAAAAAAAAAACACATATTTACTACTCCCAGCAGCATGTACAAAGACTGCATCACACTTCACAAGATAGTATTTTAAAGTAATGCTTACATTCCGTGTTTACAAAACTTGTTTTCACCACATCCGCTAAAAGCCATTTTATTATGAATCATTGACTAATATAACTTTCTAAAATGATTCTTAACTTTTCAATATTGAAAAACTTTATGAATGAATATAACCAATAGATTATTTTGTTTGTAATGTTTAACCATATTATCGACTCCAAAGTTAATCAGTAGGTTATCATGATTACAGATGGGCATCACTTAGGCTAATACTAAAGAAACTTCTTTATTAGAGTCTAAGTAACCACCTACAAGCATAGGTATATTACGCTAACCACTTGACCTCAAAATTAGTAAACTATAAGCAAAGTATTTACTAATGGCACACCGAAAGTGACTCCCTTGTCCCATATAATCGTCGCATCAAGATTTACACTAAATTTTAGGTGAAAATAGTAGTTAGCTAATATAATATCTAATACGAAGTATATTTTTAATAGAAAAGTATATGTGATGAGAAATAGTAACAGAACTTTTTAATTGAATGAGAGGGAGTTTAAAACCCTATGTTTTGGTCACCAGAAAGAACAGTTATAAAATATTAGTGCGTCCATACTATAAAAAGACTTGTGTCAACTAAATTGAGATAGATGTAGATAATAAGTGAGACAATGATATCGGGATATAAGTAGGATGAAAAAAAAAAGAAAAAAAAATAAAAACTACAACAATATGGTGGGGAGATTGAGTCATACCATAATTGAATCCAGTCCACATCCAATTTTATCTTCAGAACGAGGATGATAAGCAAGCAACCTCTCTATGACAACTTTTTCGTCATCAGATGTAAGACGTTCCCCATCCATGTACCTGCCAATACAAAATGTCAACCAGGGTACAATAACCTTAGAGTATGTGAGGATCATATAGGTTCATGCAAGTTCTAAGGACTAGATTACTAAGCATGTCAATGGGCTCCACCCACAGCCATAACTCATGATACATGTTTGGGATTAAGTTCGTGATAATTACAAAAAGAACACTTTAATAGCTGTTTGCAATTCTTCTTGCTATAAGAAAAAGGCTCTCCTTGAAATTATTTTCCTCGTTTTTATTACAAATCAAGGAATGATGTAAATATCAATTCCATGATTTGAATAACGATAATGAAGCCTTAAGAAAAATGGTAGAAAATAAGTAAACCCAGCATTATCCTCTGGTAGGAAGTTATGGTGCTCAAGGTTAATGTCGAATCGCTGTATTTAAGAATTCTGTTTTTTATTTCAGCAGGTGTCATCTTTGTGTAATATTAGTTTTGATAAGAATTAACAAGAACAAGTGATTAAGGAAAAGGACTTTGAGTTAAAATCCACTTCTTTTTACTTAAACCTAAAATCTCCTCTACGAGAATGAAGCTTGTGTAGGACTGTGTCACTCTATAATTTTTGCATCTCGCTTAGATACGAGGGAATATAATTCTAGAATTCCTTTTATAATGTATCGATGTTTCTCCCTTTAATGAATTTTTAGTCTTCAATCAAATGTGGATTATAATATACAGCCCGTATGGTCAGTATTAATAGCAATTAGTAAATAGTTTACTAGAAATTTTGCCATAAAAGACTCAAGCTTCTGTTAATGAAGTCTAGAAATTTTCATGAGGACCGTTTCTGCTTTGAATCAGTCTATGCCAAAGAGAAACACACTTTGGTAGAGACACCCAATTACTATTTACCTAGGCCACCTCCCCATCAGCTCTACAGACACAATCCCATCTCACAAAATGATATCTCTCTACTTTGGACATACCCCAGAACACTGAAAATCTCTCATCACCTTCCAATTCTTAGCTACACCTATTGAATGTTTAAAGACGCAAAATATATAAAACTGTAAATAGATAAGACAATTCTGCACAAAACTCATACAACCACATAAAGATAAAACTACTTAGAAACCCTCTCTATAAGTAGGTTCCAAAACTACAACTAAAAAGATTTCAAGACAAGTCTAAAGGAAAGTCATATAACCACATAAAGAAATATAAGCTCTCTGCAACGAGCCAAAAAGCTGCATTGCCACGCAGACTAATCACGTATGAGAGGAGGCGCAAAAGGAACCATTAGGGGTTGTGTGAGTGGAGCAGCGAAATTCAGAAGAATGAGACAAAGTATGGCAGGGGGGCTGTCAGGATATTTTGTTCACTTTTTGCTGATTATGTACATATAAAAAGGGGAAGAACGGTTGTGCTTAGGTAGCTTGTTTGTGGTATTTGGAACTGAGAGAGTAGTGACCTAAAGTCACCTCCTTTAGTCTACACACTTCCCCCTTGTTTATCCCTACATTTCCATCTCCCAAAATAAATCTTAAAGTCCCATAAAAACATTAATATTAACTATCAACGATCAAACACTAATTGTAAATTATAATTCTATAAAATTTAACCACCTACCACAAGATAAGGGGAAGAGATTGCTTATTTTACTCTTCATTGTAATCAATAAGTCTTCAATTTTATCATAAATTCAAAAGCTAAACAATCCAAACAAGGATAGAGTCCATAGAGATGTTATCTATCTCCCAAATTTCTCCAACTATGGTCTTCAATCTTATAGAACCAAAATACAGCCTTAATAATTAACACTTCTACTTTTTTACCAAGCAAAATAATAAGAATGATTACAAATCTCACACATGTGGAAGTTGAGTAGAGTAGCAATGATGCCTCTCAAACAGTTGTTTTATTTATTTTTATAAAAATTTCAATGATATCATACTTTCACTAATTGTCTCAATAAATAAAAGGTTGTTGAAATGATGAAACTCTATTTTTGTGGAGTATATTTTTTGGAGTATACAGGTTGAAAGAGGTTGATTATTTATATATATATATATATATATATATATATATATATATATATATATATATATATATTGAACCCTTCCCTTATATAGATTATATATATTGAACCCTTCACTTCTATCTCTAATCATCTTCTTCTTTCACTTTGAATTCATCCCTCCTTCTCTCCCTTTCTCTCTCACTCTTGATTTATCTTCCTATTGCACTCTCAATGTCATCCATGGCTGGGAATGATTAATTTAATATCAATTATATCTTCAAATATAAATGCAGAAAAATAAAATAAAAAATAAGGAAAGGTTCTTTGTTTCCTTTTCTGCAATAATCTCGTCTGACTGCCTAAAAAAACACAGAGACATAAACTCATACTTGAAAAAATGTTCAATCTATCTCTCCTTTACAAAGTGGATGTATTTTACACGGCAAATTTTTTTGTTTAATTTGTTTTGTACGTCTTTTTTCTTGTTGAAGATTACCCAGTTAGAAATAACAAGCACATGCACAACAAATCAATGATAGATATTCCATTCTTTTATATTTGTGTTTTTTCTAGTATTGTTCATGAGTTGCCTTCATTCTCCGCTAGTTATTTAGGAGCCAAAATTAAAGAGATGATACTTATTTCAAATGAAGGAAGCCTGCATTGCCTAAGGATAACAAATCTCCTGCACATTGCTTCACATGATCACTTTTAACCAGAATGTTTGTCAGTATAACATAATACCCAGCTCTTTTCCACTCTTTATGTATCAAAAATTCTTCCAGTCCATTTACTTCCACTAAAAGACCTTCGAAAGAGCAGTAACATCAGGCAACTCAGCAACTGTCAGTTGTTCCTTTAGTACCTTCATTATAGAGTGTATGTGTGTTTATAAGCAAGAGTGAGGAATTACACTGCCAAACCACTATCAAACATATACAACCTAGCCAAAATTTGGAAAAGAGCAAACCTTCAACCCCACAACTCCCCCCCCCCCTCCCTCCCTATGCCCCTTAGCAAACAAACTAATAGAGACAATGCAAATCCGTAACTCAACAAATGTTTTACAAAAGCAATATCCAAACTATACTTTTAGTATCACTTATAATCTAAAGGTTATTCAAGTCTATAACTTTTTGTTCCCTGTAAGCCTCATCACCGGTTTTCCACACACAGATAGTAAACAATGTTATCCATATTGAGGTGTACGAAATTTACAAATTCCATTGAAACAACCAGGAAAATAACCATCAAGAGTAATAACTAATACCCCTTTCACACTTTTTATTTCTATCACGAGAAAAACTCTTTTCACTTTTATTGTTGAAAATAAAAGATTCTAATTGGATGTCTAAGGGCGAGTTAAGGTTTAAACCAAAATCCACTTATATCAAAGAGATTCATGTTTGGATAGCAACTTGGAATTGAAAGAAAGAGAAGAGGAATGAAATGAAGGGAGAAGATCTAACTTCATTTCCCTCCAAATCTTTCCACTTTGGAAGAGGGATTGTAGTTGATGAGGGAGGGAAAATGGATCGCTCCTTCCTCCCTTCCTAGCTAAAATTCTTTATCCAAACAAAGAATTTGTTCCCCTTCGTTTCCCTTCCCTCCTTTTCTCTCCATTTCCTTCTATCCAAACAATATGTTTAAAGATAAGGAGAGCAAAACCCATCCTCTCAAAACAAATACGCAGGTCAAATGTTATTCCATGATACTCATATACACACTTATATACTAGGACCTATGTTCTTCCGACTCTCCATTTCACCTCAAATACCCGTGAGGCCATGCCAAATGATCCCAAACACGACTTCGACCATGACTAAAACTTCTAGCAAAGTCTAAATAACATAAATTAAAAGAAATATTGGTTCAAAATTAAATTCATCAATTGTGTAAACACAAGCAGAGCAATCGACAGAAAACAAACCATAGTTTGGACAGAATAAATAAATAATACCTATTAGAGTGGATAATGTCTTTGGCAAGAAAAGTAACAGGCTCAATATCCCGAAGAATCTCATCTTCTTTATCTTTCCATTTTCTATAATTAAGCTCATCAATTCCGTCGAATAATTTGGGAGGCTCTTTAACCCTCAACAATTCACTCGCCGACGAGTAAACATCCTCTTCCGAACGAGTTGACTCAGAAGAGGCGGCTGAGCAGAAGCGATGCCGGATAGGAGTGATGAAGACGGCGGTGAGTTTATGGTGGTTGTGAAGGAAAAGGCGAAGGCGGAGAAGGGGCAGGCCACGCAAAAGTGGAGGCGCAGCCATGGAAAAGGGTAGTGCAGTGCAATGCACTAATGCAGTGTATTGCACAGCCGAGTGGCGGGGATTACCCTCTTTGATAAGAGAGGGAGGATAGAGAAGAGGGAATGAGGAGTTTTGTTTGTCGTTTCAAGGGAGGAGTTTTGTGAAATTTTTGGGCCGGGAATGGAAGGTAAGATTTTAGGTCCTACTTATCTTTGGAAAATTTTAAGTTAATTTGTCATAATAATGCCATGTACTCTTGAGCTTCTAGGCAGAGCAAAACAAAGCAAAATCGATTTTAGCATAATAGAGCAGAGGGGTAGAGCAAAGAAGATTTCACAATTATTATTATTATTATTATTATTATTATTATTATTATTATTATTATTATTATTATTATTATTATTATTATTATTATTATTATTATTATTATTATTATTGTTTTGGGTAAAAATACCCAAGGCCACGTGGCCCAATAAAATGGTGACACGTGTCACTTTAAGAGAGGTTCAAAATGAACCAATACCCTGCTGATACGTGGCATTCCCAATTGTTTCGGGGTTTTTTGATGTCCTGCGGGAGAATTACAATTCCAAAACTGACCTCTGGACGCATGTACCTGCAAAACAACGGAGACTCCTGTGGGTGAGAGTTCCGCCTCCGAGGATCAAGTTAGAACGTGTTTGAGGAGTAAAGTGCGGAAAGTAAAGGGTCTCCCTTGGATTCCAAGAGAGTATCTGCAATGTGTAATTGCTCAGTTCGAGGTGTCAGGTGTCTGACTTTCTCTAATTGTGAGTTAATGTGTATCTGAATTAATTGTTTTTTTTTAATGATGTTCCTTAGAGGGAACATCTCCCTTTTATAGGGTGTTGAAAAACGTGCCCAGTACTAGGTTTCAGTAAACCTAGAACTAACTGGGCTTTGCCTAGGAATTTGGGCCGTTAGAGGCCAATTTCTGGGTTGGCTATCTATCTGCCACGTGTCGTGGCCCGATTGGTCCACCCTATACCTCTCACGAGGTGACACGTGGCGGACTCTGGGTGGTCCACGTAGCGGACACGTGACAGGGCTTGAGTGGTCTACGTGGCAGGGAAAAATCCCCTAATCATTTGCCCCTCATAGGGGTGACGTGGCATGCTACATGGCGCCTGCGATAGGTGTCCCGCTATGATTGGCTAACGGTTTTTACCGATTTTTTTTTTACCCTTGAACTTCCCCCCTATAAATAGGGGATGTCCAAATCATTTGGACATTCTAAAAACTTTTTCAGACAGAACTTTGGACTTTTGCTCTGACATTTTGGACGACTGCCGCTTGCTTTCAGACCGCCTGCTTCTTCAGCCGCCAGATTTTTCAAAAGTTCAGACTTCTCTACTCAAAGGTAACTGCCTGTTCTCTTTTGCACTTTCTCATTGTTTTTCTTTTTTTCAAAAATGGTAGCACAAAAGCACACGGCACGACCTAGGTTAGTGATCAGCTTGTCACCGGAGACGGCTGAATCTAAAACTAGGAGTGCCGACTACCCCATGTTGGACCACCCTTTGCGAACTTGCCCAAGTCCGAATGTCTATGTGTCTTGTAGGACACCATGGCCTGAACAAAGAGAATGGCCAGGATAACAAATTTAGATGACTCCTCATTTTATGCGCCTATTAGCGAGATCTCGGACGTGCCACCAAGCGTCTCAGGTACCCCAAGTGATTTTATTTTGGCATAATCAGGGGAGGAGGTTCAGAATGACCCTCCTATCATTGATCTATCCGGGCAGGCGGCTGCTTTGCCTGAGAGCTCGAGCGATGACTCTGAGCCCAACACCTCTAGTCTGCACTCTAACGACTCTGAGGAGAAGCACTCTCGTCTACATACAGCGAGAGAAAGTCATGAAGTGGAAAAAGGAGAAAAATGGGCAGAGCCGGCAGCCACCCAAAGAGACATGTATGCCCCTTACTATTGCCACGTTCCAAAAGACAGGCGCAAGGCCATGTCTGAAAAGATTGAGAGTTTTAGGGCTGACCATGTAATGGGTCATGGTTATATTCTTACAGTGCCGGATGCCGAGGATACGGTAGTCTGGCAGAGAAGTCCAGCTATAAGGACGAGTGTTTTGGCTGCTATGAGGCGGCTATTAAAGCTGGTTTAAGATTTCCTCTACATCCGGCTGTAGAGAGAATTTCGGATGGGTACCAACTGGGTCTCTACCAACTAGCCCCAAACTCTTAGTTCAACATCTTGGGCTATGTTGCCGGCTGTGAGATGCATGAGGTAGAGCCAAGCTTTTCTGGATGTTGTCCTTGGTAACCCGGATGGTAGGACCCCCTCCCGCGAAGCTGCCTGCTATAGTAAAGATGTGCTCTTCATCAGTGTTAGAGCTCACAGCCGGCTTCTTGGACGTTTGTCCATTGTTTGTTTTGGGGTTACCCTTGGACTTCACCATATAGGGCTTAAAGCCCCCTCATCAGCCAGACGGTCCAATAGCCGCCTGAGGCTATAGCAGCCATTGGTGTGATGGTCGACATCCTCATGGAACTGACAGTACTTTCTCTTGTCCCGGCTATTGATGGGACTCTTCATTGCTGCCGGTTTTTCAAGGGTCAACCGGTCTTTAATCTCTATGAGGATGGAGGAGCAGTCCTTGTTGAACTCGTACTTGGGGACGTACGGCTTAAACTCTCTCCTTTTCTTTTGGGACGGCAAACCAGATCGGTCTGCCGCTCAGACTTCTTTTCTTTTCTTGCTCTCTTCTTTCTTGGCCGGCTGAGCAGACCGACTCTCTTTCCTGTCGGACCTTTTAGGTTCCGACAAGTGCTTGATGGCGCAAAGCTCCGTCGCCTGTATGGGCTTCGGCTTCCATCAATGCCTCTTGGAGGGTAGCAACCCTCTTGCGAACCAAGTCGAACTTAAAGGTCGACTCATCCTTCAGACCCTTGAAGAAGTCTGTATAGGCAACTTCGTCAAACAGTCCTTGAATCTAAATTCTCATCAGATTGAACCACCTGACATAGGACCTTAGTCCTTCCTTGTCTTTCTGCTGAATAGCCCCTAAGTCGAGACTTGTCTTTTTGGCAGGGATGTTCATGGAGAAGTTGGACGCAAACAGGTATGCAAGCGTCTTAAAGTTGTTGATGCATCCGGCAGGCAAATTGTCATCGTTAGGCTATGCCCTTCAACGTTGCCGGGAAGCATCGGCACTAGACGGCGTCTTCCAACCCCTGTAAGTACATGTGGTTGGTGTAAGACATTAGGTGGTCTTCCGGGATGGTGGTACCATCATAGGTCCAACCAACACGTTCTTAACGTTGGCCGGCTGAACTGCCTCGGTTATATTCTTAGAGAACGTCGACGGGTGTTCCCCAAGATTTAGCAGCCGGAGCTGCCAGTCCATAAGCTGGACCTATTGTGCCGCCGGACCCCCAAAGAAGGTCGACTGCATGTATGGTGATCCATACGGCATGTATGGTTGTTGGGGCACATACAGAGCCGGCTGGATAATCTGAGAGCCAGTACGTGCGGACATGCCGCGTGACTGAATCTCTCGGTTTGTCTACGAATACTTCATTGAAGTATTGCGGAAACTGTCTGGGTAAGTTGACGTTGAGGCCGACTTAGACATTTGTTGACTTCTCTTCTCTTGGATGAACATCTGGGCATCAGAGTAAGTCTTTTTTGACCCATCCGGCTGAACTTGCCAGATGACCTTTGTTTAGGGTAAAAATTACCCATGACAAATGGACCAATCCGGACCTGCCACGTGTCCACCACGTGGGCCAATCAGCGTCCGCCACTTGTCACCCTAAGAGGTCCAACATGGACTAATCAGGCCACGCCACGTGGCCTCCCATATGCCAAATAGGCAAAATGGCCACCAAGGCCCAAAGTCCGAGAGAAGCCCAATTTGCCCTGGTTAACTTAAACCTAGGATTGGCACGCTTCTCAAGACTATAAATACTTAATTAATCCTCATTAAAGGGGATTTAGCAATTGATGACTCTCACCTAGAGAAGTCTAAACACATTGATCACTCCTCCCCTAGAGGAACCAGATCTCCCACCTTTACTTTCCGCATTTATTACTCCTCAAACAAGTACTAACTTGACCGTTGGAGGCGGAGCTCCCACCACAAGGAGTCTCCGTTGTTTTGCAGGTACAGGCGCAAGGATACCAGTCCCGGAATTGTAACTCTCCCGCAGGACATCAGAAAACCCCGAAACATTTTGGCGCCGTCTGTGGGGAGAGTACTTTCGAGATGGATTCACAGTCTGTACCAGTTCTAAGTGAGAAGCGTCCCATGGACGACCCCCTAGTTCAGTCGGACCAGGGCACTGACAATGAAATCGATGTCGAGACTCGCACGGCCCCTGACGGGACTCTGAGAGCTCGACGCACTCGTCCCACCGAAAGGAGGGTACGAGAGGACTGCCTGGCTGGATCTAGTAAACAAACCGGCCAGCCGCTTGATCGTCAACAGGCGGTCGAGGGATCTACCCCCATCACCAGAAACGAACTTATGACCTTCATGAATAGTTTCAAGGGGGAGATCCAGGAGCTTATCAACAAAAGGGCGACTGATCCGCCAAAGGAACAGTCGGCCAGAAGCCCATCCCAGTCTGGGAGGAAGAAGCCTGTAAAGGATCGAGAGGCGACCCCCTACCCTAGACCTAGGGAGAGGCAGACGCCATTGATCGATTTGACTAAGTATCACTTCTCCTCACCAGGAAAGTGGAAGCCTATTTGGCATGTTCATCCAGATGGGTCAAAGAAGACATACTTTGATGCTCGAATGATAATCGAGCAAAAGAAAAATCAACAACTGTCGAAGTTGGCCTCAACATCCGACTTCCAAGACAGTCCCCGGAATTCCTCAATGAGGTGTTCCAAGTCATGTTATGAGGACCGGACGGGAGGCACCCCCTCTCGCTTGAGATCTTGAGATCGTACGTGTCCCATGCTTAGACAGGGAGCACCATAAGCAGACGGCCAGGTCTAAACCACCCCCAATTGGAGTTACATGCGCCTAGCATGACACTTAATGGGTATAGCCGGCAAGATAGCAACCTCCCGACATTCGGCCCGGCAGCCAAGTACTACAAGCGTCATACGGCCGAATGCCAAGAGTCGTATGGATAGGTTTGTAAGCTATTGTTATCAAGTCATTATTACTCATTTTTATTAATCATTATTATGATTGTAAAAAA